GGGGTGTTCATTTCAGGGCAGGGGCACAGGGCTGGGGCCGGGGGAGAGCATGATGATGAGGGCTGGAACACATGTGGTTTCACTGGCCGGTGTTGCCCGAATGACAGCCTGGGGGCCGCCAGGGCCAGGCGACAGGCCCCTTTTGCCCCAAGCTGGAGGGCAGAGCCAGGAGCTTGCTAGCCTCCTTACTGGCACGGCTTGGAGTATTTTTTTCCCCTCTCGGAAATCTTTTATTTTTAAATGATAATAAATACAGGTGCTGAAGAGATAGAAGGAGAGGAACAGATATATCAACGGAGGTAGAAGGGGATGGTGGGGGGAGGGGGAGAAACAAGGGCAAGGTGGAGAAGCCCGAAGTCCCTGTGTCTTTTGACCTTGGCAGTTTTCATTATGCCCTTTGCCCTCTGGCTGGTTTTGTTGAGGCCCCTCCCTTCCCCCCAACAAAATCCAGTGAGGTGGCTTCTAGTGAGAATTAGCATTCATTAGAGTCTCTCCTAAAGGATCTCTTTTTATGGTACGGAAGCTGGAATGCATGCGTTCATTGGTGTAGTTGCTCCGCAGAGAACGAGGCCTTGCCCGGGCCAGGCTCTGTCCTGGGTCCAGGGGCAACAGGAGCTTCTGGAGGCAGGAGCTCTGGATTCAAAGCCTAGGTCTGTGGTCACTCCCTGGCTGGGTGACCCCAGGCAGCTCACTTCACCTCTTGGGGCTCAGTCTTCTCATCTGCAAAGTGGGGTTAGTGACATTCATGCTGAAAGGCATGTGAGGGTCTAAGGGAACTTCAGATAGACAAGACTTTGTCGGGCAGTGGTCCCGCAATGCCAGCCATGGGCCAGGAGGCCTGGGGAGATAGGTACTTCTAGCAAGCACCACCCTCTGATCACACTTTGAGAAAATGGTTGGGGGTGTCCAGGGACCAGCAATCCTGCCCAGCTCTCCCCTTTCCCTGTCTAGCCTTCCTGAGAAACTGCCTCCCTAACTTAGTGCACCCAATGCCATGACTGTGGGCCCCGTAGGGGCACTGGGACGGGCGGGGTGGGTGGGGCTGGGGTTTCTTCTCTTCGAGTCCCTGGGTCCAGTAGGCTCTTGAAGAGTTGAGAGAAGCTCACAGGAGTGGGGGTTGGTTTGAGCTGATTTTGACAAGCCCCCTCCCGCTTGTCCTCCTCCAAGGAAGTTGGTGGGGGCAAGGAGATGGGGGTGGGGATTGGACCTGGGACCCAGATTTCCAGAACCTTGGCCACAGGTCGAATGACATCCCTCCAACGTGGATGAAATGCCCTTGTGAGCCTGTTTTGCAGTGGGGTAAACCAAGGCTCAGAAAGGTGACACAGTGACCAGTGAGAGAGTCTCCCAGACCCCAGGGCCCTTGCTCTGTTCTGCCCCCACCCTCCTTCCAGGTGACCACTGCTCCCATCCTGCCTCACTCAAGAACACTCAGAGGAAGGGCGCTGGGAGTTAGCCCCAGGTACTGACCTGGACCCCACAGCTGCCCCTCCCTCCTGGAATCTGGTGTCCTGAACAGCGTCAAAGATCTTGATGGGACCACCCCAGGGTTATTCAAGTAACTCCCTGATGCATGGGTAGGCTCCTTCCCCTCCCCATGCTCCCAGATGAAAACTGTGGGCCTGTGAAGGGCAGGCATGTAATCTCTGTGCACATGTGTGTGCACACATGTGCACAAGGATATGAGGCTTGGGTCTGTGTGTGTCCACAGGGGCTGGGCATGTGGGTTCAAAGCAAGTATGTGGGGGCACCTGGGTGGCTTAGTCGGTTAAGCGTCTGCCTTCGGCTCAGGTCATGATCCTCGGGTCTTGGGATCGAGTCCCGCATCGGGCTCCCTGCTCGGCGGGAAGCCTGCTTCTCCCTCTCCCTCTGCCTGCTGCTCCCCCTGCTCGTGCTCTCTATCGTGCACATGTTTTTGTATGGGTGAATGTGCAATTGTGTGAGCATATACGTGTTTGGGGTGTGTGTGTGTGTCTGTGTGTCTGTGTGTCTGTGTGTAGCTGGATCAGGGGAGGGGAGGAGTGGGCTACAGTGAATTCTCACCCCGCGGGTCCACTCAGCTGCCCCCCTTGACACCTCTGGATCAAGTGTTTTTTTACCTGGGTAGGCGGCTGGGGGTCTGAGCACACCCACAGGAGGGAGTCCTCCCACCTCGTGCAAATCCCCTTCCCCGCTCCACCCTGCTTCTGTGACCCTGTCACAGGCCTGTCTGCAGGGGGCGAAGGTGAGTCCACTCCCCTGAACTTCACTTCCCCAGGTCTCTCTCTGGTGAAAGTTCTAAGTGAGCCGTTCTTGAAAAATTCCCATGTGCCCAGCAAATGTTTGGGGCCCTGGCAGAGATGGGGCCCAGAATCTTGCAAGTTCTCTCTTGGGTTCTGTGATTCATCACAATCAGGGCACCACTGTGGAGTAGCAGCACAACCCAATACGTACATGGGCTTGAATCCCTGCTCTGCCACTCCCCAGCTACGTGACCTTGGGCAAGTCCCTTGACCTCCGTGAGCATCCTAATGGGGCAAATAATACCTACCCTGCTACAAGTCCAAAGATTTAGCTAGGAGGATATTTATTCCAGCATGGTTTAAAGTGATAAAACAACAACAACAACAACAAAAAAAACAAATGGAAACAGACCCAAATGTCCAATAACAGAACTGGTTAAAAAGAAAACAAAAACGAAAAAAGGATGGGTCACCCATCACCAGCAGGTTTCAGCCTGTCACCACCGAGGATGACATAACTCTGACTGTGATCAATTTATTAATCGGGGAGATATTGCTGACTGAACCAGAGCAGGTAACCACATGGCGCGTAGAGAATGATCTCTAGTTTCAAAATGAAGAAAAAAAGAAAAGTCTGGAAGGAAGGGCATCAAATACATTACCAAGGTGCTTGAGATTCTGGGTGATTACATTTTCTTCCCTTTGTTTATCTGAAATTTCTAAATTTTCCTCAATGAGCAAGGAGCATTCATCTGAGAAAGACAAACGCGTATAAAGAAAAGAAAGCCAAGCCACCTTGCATTATTCTCACGAGGTCCACATACAAGAGGGACAGATGAGCAGGACTCTTAGGGTATGCCTATTCCTTGGTGGTCCACTTCTCCTCCTCTCCCCCGCCCCCCTCCCCCACCCTGTGCCCAGCTGCCACTAACGTGGGCAAGCCCCCCACCCCCAGCCTGGATGAAAAGGGACCTAAGGCAGGACACACTCACATTTATTTTCATCTCCCTCATCTGCTTTTCTATCCCTACAGTGACCGAGTTGGAAGGGAAGGTAGGAAAACCTCCCTCCCATCCCCATTTTTGCAAGTAAGGAGACAGGCCTTGTCTTCCGGTAGTGGCTCAAGCCTCCCAAATCTCATCTGACACTCTTCCCCTCACACTGATTTACCCAATGGTACCAGCATTCCTTCCACTGGAGTTGCAGACTACATCAGCTTTGCCCTCCTTGGGGTCCTTCTGCCCTAATACAGCCTTGCAGATAACTGGAGTCAGCTTACCAGCCCGCCAGAATTACATGAGGCCTCATTAGGAGGGAAGCTAAGTTCTTCTGACACCCCGGGGGGACAAACACATCACACAACCAGTCATTCGTCAAATATCTTGAAGACCTACTGTGTGCAGGGTAGGCTTGTGTTAGGTGGTGGTCTTTATAGAAAGCACGGGGCCATACTGTGCCCGGCACATAGTGACCGTCAAAAAAAAAAAAAAAAAAAAAAAGGCAGCCGCTTTCATTTCCTGGTGATTCTCAAAAGCACCCCCCTCCAGATGGCTTTATACCCATCCAGTCTGTTTTACGAGGGACACGTGAACTAGAGAGAAGAAGGACTCTGTTCCCTTGGAGGGACTCTGGGAGCAGGCACACACAAAAGAGAACCACACAGCACTGAGGGAAAAAAGAATTTTTTTTTATTAATCTTTCTTTTTTAAAAAAGTTGATTTTTTTGTTTTTTGCGGTTTTTTTTTTTTTAGGTAAACCTCTTTCTGCCTCCCCTCCCTCACTCCGCCCACCCTCCTCTTAAAAATATAAAAATGTCCAACCCCAGATAACTAGAGTACAATAAATAAACAGTAAACACAAAAACATACTTTATTTGTTTCTTCTTTATACAAAATAAGGAAACTAGAAGCGATCGACTTCCAAAAAAGTATAATACTGTACATCCTGACGACCCAGCCTCCAGGCCCCGGGCAGGGAGGGTGGTCTGTGGGCCTGAGCCCAGAAATCTTGGCGCCTTGCCCAAGGGGAGAGCAGGGTGGGCAAGTGTTCTAGTCCGGCCTGGACCCCTGGGCTCACAATAAATGTCAAAGGAAGGAAGGGTTGGGGGCGGGGGTTGCCTGGCCCGGGGCCCGCGAGGTCCGGACCGCCCCCTTCCTAGAAAGCTGACCTTGAGCCTCAAGTATGGCCACCAGGGGGCGCCCGCGCGCAGGCGGCTCCGTCCTCCTCCCGGGGACACCCCCACTCAAGCGCGCTCCTTTCTCGCTCTCTCTCCATCTTCCCGTGCTCTCTCCGGCTGGCGCTCTCTCCATCTTCTCTCTTCCTCATTTTGCTCCCTTCCCTCGCTCTCCCTTCACTCTCTCTCTTTTTCTTATCATCTTGTTTTAAAGACGGGGAAAGCAGAGTGAGAAATAAGGTTACCCAAATGCCACTTGGATTGCAGAGAGGGGGTTAAATCAGCTCCGCCCCTTGGCCTCAACCCTCTGTTGGTCCGAAGAGGTGGTGGTAGGGGTCGGGGGAAGTCTAGAGCGTGCTTGAAATCTCTCGACCCTCCGCGGTATCGACTTTGGTCCCAAGCACCGCTCGCGCCGCCGGGGGACTGCTGGCAAGCGGGCCGGGGAAGAGGGGATACCCCGCGGCGCCGGCGGGGTGGACCCGGGGGCGCCCCCCGCGCGCCCCGCCGAGTAGCCGCGGCCGCTGCGTGCGGACCCGGGAGGGAAGCCCTGAGGGCGGCGTGTCGGTTCGGACGGCTGCGTCCGGGGGCGGCCCGGCCCGGCGGCCTTACCACACGGCCGCCTCGTTGAGCTCGGGGTTGGGGTGCGACAGGGGTCCGCTGTAGCCGCTGGCGCCGCTCATGGGGAAGGGCGGGCTGGGCCCGCCGCTGAACACCTCGCCGGGCAGGGGGTGCAGCGCGCCCGGCAGGCCCGGCTCGGGGCTCGGCGTGTCCGGGTGCGAGATCATGTCGGTGAACCTGGGGTTGTCGGCGGCGTGCGGGCCGGCCAGCGGCGGCTCTAGCGCGCCCAGCGGCGTCGAGCCGGGCCCCGACGCGGCCAGGAAGCTTGAGTCGGCCGGGGACTGCGCCTGCGACGGCGGGCCGTGCGCGAAGAAGTCATAGTTGCCTCCGGGCGCGTAGTAGTCGCCTTGGTAGTCTGCGGGAGGGGACCAGGAAGACACAGGGAGAGGTCAGAGGCGGCCCGGCCGGGAGGGACGCGGGAACGCGGGAGGGGACTCGGGCGGACCCAGCAGGGATCGCGCGACACTGCCTCAGGTTGGCGAGCCCCGCGGGGACCAAGGGACAGGGCGGCTGGCGGAGGTGGCGGAGGGCGCAGACCCAGAGCCAGTGTCAGGGAGGGAGACCATGAGAGGTGCTCAAAGGCCCAGACACCCTCGCGGAGAGACCGACCGACCAGAGGGAAGGACTCAGAGACAGAAACGCAGACAGAAAGATGTTGTGACTTCAAAGTCAGAGGTTCCCCGACAGAGATGGAGAGAGACAGTGGCAGTGGACACGCAGACAGTGAACCATCCTAGACTGTGTCTTAGAATTGGGGCGAGATCCACAGAGAGCCAGAGACATGGAAACAGCCAGAGACAGGGTCAGTGAGAGATTGGCAGAGAACAGAGTGACAGGGAAGCTAAGAGGGGACTCAGCAGGGAGCCCCCAGACTCAGGTCAGAAAAGAGACCCAGACGTGCCAAGCCCAAGGCAGAGAGAGCCCAGGACGACGGTCTAGGACAAGCACAGAGAAAGAGAGATGAGACCAGCCCTGTTGTTAGAGACACACCGGTAAAAACCTGCGAGAGACCAGGGGCGAGATGAAAGGTCAGGAGAGACAGAGGGGCCCAAAGACCCGCCAGATGAGTCAGAGACGCCAGAGATGCCTGGAGTAGAGCTGGGCAGCGATGCTGGGGTGGATAGAGACCAGAGTACCAAATTGTTGGGGGGGGGGGCACCTGGCGGGGAAGAAGCCAGACGTGGACCCCACACCCAAGTAGCAGAGAGTGGCTGGTGAGTTGGGCCGGGGACGTGGCTACTGACAGCACTTGGAGCTCGAAAGGTGGATGAGTGCCCTCTCTTTCCCTGCAGGCGCCCCGCAGACCTGGCCGGCCCTTCACCCCCTCAAGTACAGCCCTGCGACCTTCTGGGTGAATGTGGGGGTCCGACCATTTGCACCAGCCTCCCTAGGCCTGACTTGAGGGAGGGAGGGCATTTGCCTGATCACGCACATCCAACGTTTCACGGGCACTTCAGCGTGCGTTTGCCAGGACACCCAGGTTCTAAAACATTTGGGGACACTGAGTCCTTTTGAGAATCTGGTAATAGCTACGGGCTCTCTCCAGAAAAATGCACAAATCACATTTTTGCCCGCAAAATCAGGGGGCACAAGGACTCCAGTTTACAAGCCCACCCATTCTCAATAAATAGTTTCTGCATCAACTCTCTGACCTCCTCCCAGAGTCCTCTCCCCGGGGACGTCTTCCAGGTCGCCCTCGTGAAAGTTTGGGGTGTAGGACCCCAGGAAAGGAGCACCTTGTCGCCGGCACCGGTGACAATAACCCGCTTTGTGCGGTGGGAAAACCAGCGCACCCCCAAGCCGGGTTTCCTCTGCAATACCCCCCCACCCCACGCTGAGTCTTCGGGTCTCAGTCACTAGGGCGAATTCTGGATGTCCCCTGCCGCCCGCCCCCCTTCTTTCTCCAAACCCTGAAATCATTCCAAACGGGGGTGCCCGGAGGCGCGGCTTGTAAACGGTTTAAGCAACAGCTAAAACGGTCGCCAATTACTTTTTAAAAACCACTCATTCCATTCTCCCCGAAAGTGAAGGGCAAGGTTGGAAGCGGCGAATTTGGGGCCCCTAAGGGACGGGGATGGGGGACGGCCGCGGCCCGCAGCGAGCCGGCAAGCCAGCAAGGGCCGCGGCCCCCGCGCGGAGCGCGCCGCCTCCGCCCATATGGCGGCCGGGCCGGAGGTAATTGGAACAAACGCCGTCTGAAAAGGGCACAAAAGCCGCAGCTGGGGCTTTGTCCGCGCTCCCACGGGGAGCCGCCGGCCCCGCCGCCCAGCCCCTTTCTCGCCCGCTGCCGGCCGCCGCCGCCCGGATCTCCCAGCGCGGACTAGGCGGGGCTGCCTCCCTAGGGCTGGGGGGTCCTGCCCCCCCCATTCCGGAGAAAGAGGGGCCCGCGTGTCCAGGCCCCCACCCCATCCAGCAGACGCGCGGGTAGAGGAGGCGGCGGGATTGGTGGGGGCACACCAGTCCTCGGGGAAACCTTGCTTAATTACCCAGGCGGGGAGAAATTCCGGACTGCACCGCCCCACCACCTCCCCGCGTCGGGCGGAGATGGTGTGCGGACCGAGGCAAAGATAGGTAGGGCGAGTTCGTGGCTGAAGACCGTCAGACACGTCCACCATCCGAGCTGCCCTCGGCGTCTGTAGCCCCCAACCCGGGCCATGCCATCGCAGGGTCTCTCCCCCAGAAGCACAGCTGCGCAATTTGCCCACAGTTTGGGGGGGGGGGGGGGGGGGGCTGGCCGGACCTGAAGATCTAACCTCCTAAGTCGACCATGTACTGAATGAAGCCTGCCTTCCTGGGTCCGCCTGGGTGCGGCGCGGCGCCTACCCTAACCGTCGCTGGCCGGCATTGCCTCCAAACCTATGTTTCTAAGAAAACTCACCTCTCCCCAAACTGGGCCACTAGCCCCCCCCCCCCCCCCGGCCTGTGGCACTGAACAACTCAGCAGAGAGCAGGCTCAGGCACAGGCACTCCGCGGGCTCTCCAAATTCAGAGGCTCAGAAACACAAGGGGGAGGTGTTTTCCTTGAGCCCAAAGGTTGGGCAAGTGCAGGACAGTGAGTGGATTCCCTAGAGCACCTGGGGTCTCAAAAAGCCAGCGTGAGGGAGGTGGGATGGTCGTGGGGGGTTGGAGTGGGTCGCCAAGCAAGTACGAAGGAAACGGAGGGGTGAGGGGACAAGGGAGGAAGGAAAGGAGGGAGTGACAGTAAGGAGAGTTCCCCCAGGCTTCACCCGGAAGGGTGAAGAGAGGCAGAGATGAAGAGGGGCAGAATGCCTCTCTGCCAACTCCAGCTCCTTGCCCCTGTCGCCCTAAAGACGGAGAGTGGGTGACTGGGTGGGCCCAACTCTTGCGCCTCCAACCCCATGAACACCGGTGGGCTTGGGGCTGGAGAATGGGCGAGAGTCCTGCCCAGAGCAACTGCCCGCATCCTGGCTCACAGTGCCAGATGCTGAGCGCATAGTCCCCGCGGGGAACAGGAGGTGCCGACTAGCTAGCAGGTGGCCGGGGACGGATTCTGACCCCTCCGCCCCTACTGCCGGCGCTGCCCTCCAGTGCCTGTGTTCCTGCTGGTGCCAAGTGCGCCACGCCACCGAGGGCAAGGGCAGCAAGAAGGCTGGGTGTCCGGCTGGGGCAGGACGCATGTGGATTTGCGGTGCTCCCCTTGGTATGATGCTTGGGAGTGTGTGACCCTGTGAATCTCTTTGAGCATGTTTGTCAGGGAGTGAATGTGGGGAGTGGGTACACCTGTGTGTGTTGTGTGTGATCACGTGCCTAGATTTGTATCCCTGAGGTCTCTGAACTCCAGTGTGTGGGCAAGGGAGTGGCACCCGTGTGTCCTGCGTGGGTGCGTGTGTTTATCTGCGTGTATCACTGTATGTGTGAGTGAACCCATGTGTCTGATTTTGTGTCTACGAGGTATCTATGGGTGAGCGTGCGCCCGTCTGTTGCTGTGTGTCTGCTGTGTTCATGATTGTGTCTGTCCCGCGTGCGTAAGAGGGAGGGAGGGATCCCTGGCGGCCAGCAGTGCCGGCGTCCGGCCTTGCGTCCTCAGTCCCGAGAACCGCACGGGCCTGGGTGTAGGGCAGCGCGTTCCGGGGGTGGGGGGGTGGGTCCTTACCTCCGTAGTAGGTGTACGGAGTGGACCCCAACATCTCGGACTCGTCCAAGCGGCCGCCCAGCGGACGCATGCGCCGCGGACTCCGGAAGAAGGCGTGTCTCCGGGCGCCCAGTGCGCTCAGCTGTTTCATCCTGCGTTCTTTGGACCTTCGGTTCTGGAACCACACCTGGGACGGGGCGGGAATTGTGAGCTCAGGTCCGGGGTGCCCTCTCCTCCCTGCCCTGGCCGCCCCTTCTGGGTCCTAACAGCCTCCTGCGCACCAAGACTGCCCAGAGGCGGGGGCCGGGCGGATTAGGCCGGGAGAGGTGGAGAGGGGCTTCGGGGAACTAGCCAAGGGTGAAGGATTTCGCGGACCCGTGGGGCGACTCATAAAGACTTGGGCTTCCTGGTCCTCGGCCCGCCCTCGGCCTGACGGCTTTATAAAGGCCTCCCGCCCGGCACTGCTCTAGTCCCGGCCCCTCGGCTCCCCAGCCTCCCCAGCCTCCCCAGCCGGGTTCTGGCGGTTTGTCTGTCTGCCGCCGCACCGGCGCAGGGAGGGGGGGGCGCGGGAAGAACCTTGCCCCTTCCTCTGCTCCGAAAGATGGGAGGAAAGGAGCGGTACCCCAGCGAGGCTTAAAACTCTCTTTGAACGGGGAGGGGGCGGGATTCCGAGGGATGAGTGACCCGCCCAAGATCGCACCGTCAGGAGGACAGCAGGGCTATGCGGAATCTTTTGGTCAGAAGTTTGACCCGCTGGCCCTGACGTCGGGCACACAGTCTGCCCTTCGGCCGACCCGAACTCGGCGCGCTCTTAGCCAAGGAGGCTGGGTGGGAGGCTCCTCTGAGCTCCCCGGCTGCCGGCCTCAGCCGGCCTGGGGAAGCGTGACCCGGGCCCGGCCGCACCTGGATGACGCGCATGTTGAGGCCGGTCTCCTGTGCCAACTGTTCGCGGATGTGGCGCGTGGGCTTGGGCGTGGCGGCAAAGGCGGCCTTGAGCGTCTCCAGCTGCTTGGCTTTGATGGTGGTGCGCGGGCCGCGCCGCTTCGTGCCCGAGTTCTGCTCCTCGTTCTCGTTGTTGGCTGTCTCCTTGTCCGACGACGTCGAGTTGTCCGTCTCCTTGGGATCGTCCTGGAGTGGGTCCTGGAGGTCCGGGGATAAACTGCGGTCCGTACAGGATGACACTGCGGGCGGACGGAACGGGAAGAGGACAGCGGCGTCGGCGGCGGCCCGAGGTCTCTCCAGTCGGGTAGCCGGTTCCGGCCGGCCCGGGCCCCCGCCATCCGCGCCGGGTTCCCTTCCGAGTCTCGCGACAGCCCCTCCCCCAGGCGCCCGGCGCCCGCCCACTCGCTCCAGGCGGGGCCGGGCCTGCGGAGGGACCCTTCTCGAGCCCTCGCGGCTCTTTTCGGCTACTGCTTGGGTAAGGGGGAGGCGCGCCCTCTGGGGGAGCCAGGCCCCCGTGGAGAGGGGGCGGGAGGAGGCCACGGATGCCCTCTGGGCCTCAGGTCTTCCTCCCCCATCTCTCCTTCCTCCAAACTCCAATTACCGTCCTCCCAGTGCCGCCTGAAATTACCAGGAGCTGAAAAGACTCAGAAAGGGGGGAATTGTGTGGCTCCAAATTGGGGGAGGAGGACAACTTGGAAAAGGCCCTTCAATGGAAGGGGGGGCGGGGGAAGAGCTGGTAGTCGTGTCCTGTAGGACAGACTCCAAATGCTATCCCCGTGCCCCAGCCCCCCACCCCCACGCCCCCGCCCTTCCATTTGCCCTAGAAATGCCCGATGGGAGTGGAGAGCTCTGAGCCAGGCACAGAATGCACACAAGCGTCCAAGTAGAGAGTGCCCGGCTGGCTGCAGCCGGAGGGGCTTAGGGCCTGAGGCTGGGGAGGGGAGGAGGCCGCCTACCTGAGTTGAGGCTGCCCTCCTTGAGGCTGGAGGAGCTCAGGTAGTCGTCCTTGCACACGAACTTGTTCTCATCGATGACGTAGAGCTCCTCGCCCGTGGACAGCTGCTTGTTGCACACCATGCAGGTGAAACAGTTGAGGTGGAAGACTTTACTGCGGGCCTTGCGCACCAGGTCGCTGGGCGAGATGCCTTGCGCACAGCCCGCACACTTCGTGCCGAAGCGCCTGCACACACAACATGGCCTGTCACCTTGGAGCAGCCTGGGTCCCATCCCCTTGAGCCCCTAGCCTCTTCCCACCCACCCTAGCCTCTGAGAGGTCCCCATTTCCACATCTGTCAAAGGAGACCCCAATCCCGTACCCTCTGGCTAGTGAGAGAGAGGTGAGACAAATGTCCTGGGCTGTTCTTGGGGCTGGGACTGTCACGCCCTGTTCGGGTTTATTCACCCTCCACAAGGTTTAGAGCAATGGGTGCAGCCTTCAGCCAAGCACAGACCCAGGGCACCCCAAGTTGCTCCCCTCATCCCTCCCAGATCTGCCTGGGCTTCTTGAGGCAAACTTGGCTGTCCAAGTTATTTAACATTTTAAGCCAGGCCAGCCAGGTTTGGGCCACTCCTTGGCTTTGCCTCCTGGATCCTGTCCAGTCTGCTGGGGCCCAGGTAAGGCCAGTTGGCCTGGCTGGCAGATCCTAGCAATGGAGTAGGGAGCGCCTCTCCTGAGCTGGACCTGAGCAGGCAGGAAGGAACCTTTTGCTGATTCCCGGTGCCACCAGCACCAGAGGCCTTCCAGTCCCCACTTTGGGACCCACGGGAGCTAGCTGGCCCTGTGGACAGCAGGGCCTTGGAACGGTGGACTCCGGAGCAGAGATTGAGTCTCCAACCCCCCAAAAATCTCTGGCCCTGGCAGGCACCGGGAGAATGTGACCAGCAGGCAATCCTAAACCTGCAAGGCCAGTACACAAGATCTCTCAAATTCCCCCTTTCCCGAGTTCTTGATCTAAATCCCTTTCTTTCTTCCTTGAGCGCTTGGAGAAGGCCAGCCTCTCCCCAGATGGGTGTGCAGGCCGGCACTGGGAGGGGTGAGGTGCGGGTTGAGGGGGAGAGCGAGGGCCCAGGACCTTGGGGCCCCACATCTACTCATACCCATGTCTCTAAACAAGGCGAATTTGGGTGACGTTGATGTAGTGAGGGCATTAGAAGCCATAAGTCACTTTTGGCCTTATCCGGCAGCGTAATTGGCCATATGCACCTTATCAAAAATCATTAGGCACTTTGCAAGCACCGCCACATTAGGGGCCTCAGGCCTCTGGAGCCAGGGAGTTTACACGTGTAAAGCCGTGGCTGACATTTTCTCCTATTCAAATTCCCTAGTGCCCAGCCGCTGGGGCCGGTGAGCCGCCTTTCTCCACGGTGTTAATCACGCCCCGCTTCCCTCGGTGCCCGGAATTCACAGGCACAAAGCCGGCTCTGGGCGCCTGGTGGAAGCAGGCAGGGCTGAGCTGCCAGAAAACCCACAGCCTTCCAGGCCATCCCTCGGTGTTTCCCAGGTGGGGAAACTGAGGCCCAGAAAAGTGCTCTGCCCTGGCTCACCTGAGGGCCCCTATGGGCAGCAAGGGAAGGTGACACATCGCAGACTGGACCCTGGAGGTCCTGATTCTCAGCTTCGATTTCGTTTGTACATTTCAAGACGGGAGAAAATGTGTAAGGAGTTGGGGGGGGCAAAGAGGAGAAGGCTCCCTCCCCCCATCATCAGAAGAGATCTTCCTGGCTGAACCCCCTCAGAGTTGGGGAAGTTTCTGTTTGTCCAGGAGGGCTCTGGGGCCCTGGCCTGCCGGGAGGTCAACCCCCCCCCCCCCCCCGGGCTCCCGCACCCTGCCCGGTGGGAGAAGCCTCCAGCAGCCCCTAACTTAGGCAAAAATTCTTCCTCTCTCAGAACCGGGCTTGAACTTCCCCCCTGGGGTCGCAGCTGCGGGGAAGGGGCAGAGACGCGTGGGGAGCAAGTTTGTCAGGGCTTCTCCGCCCTGACCCACCGCGGCTCCAAGCCGGTCTGGAGGAGCGAACTAGAGCCGGCAACACAGCGTTCTTCTTACTCCGCCCGGGCTCGGGCGCTTTCCCGGACCAAGGACAGGACGAGAGCAGCGGGCTGCCCCGCTTCCCATTTAAGCTTGTGAGCCCAGGAGGCTGGTTTCGCGGTCTCCCCTTCCCGGGCGCCCCAGCGGAGCGCGCAGGGCGGGCGCGCAGGCGGCAGGGCGGCGCGGCCTCTTACCTGAAGAAGTCATTTTTGCAGTAGAGCTTGCCCTCGCGCGAGAAGCACTTCTCCGAGAGGTTGGTCTTACACTCGCAGCACTGAACGCATTTGATGTGCCACGCGCGGTCCAGCACGTTCAGCAGAAAGCGGTCGAGGATGGGCCGCTCGCAGCCGGCACAGTGCACCATCATAGCGCCCCGGCGGCTCGGGCCGCCCTGCCCTCCCTTTGGGCCCCCGGCCCTCGGGCCCCCGGGCCCCGCGGCTGCGCTCCGCCTCTTATCTCGGCCGCCGCCGGGCGAGTCCGGTGCGGACCAAGACTCAGCCGGTCAAGTCCTTGGGTGATCGCTGTCCTGGCGCTGGGCTGCTCGGGGTGGGGTGGGGAGGGGTGGCTTTCACAGCCTCATGCCCCGGGCCGCGCGCCCCAGTGCTTGTTCCGGGCTCCCCCAGGTGTCTTGGGTGGCCAATGGCCTCGGCGCTGCGGAGCGGCTTTCCCCGGTGGCGGAGGCGCCGGCACTTTCCCCCACTTTCAAGCGGTCCCGATCCTCATCTTTGTCTGGCCGCCGCCTAATTCGCGCATCCTTATTCAGATTTGGTGACGTGGCGCGGCACGTAGGGGGCCCGGCGGCCAATGGGCGCGCGGTGGCCATGGCAACCTCTTAAATTTATAGCATATCTAAATTGGCTACAGCGTTGCCGTCCGGACAGAGCAAAAAAAACAAGGCATCAGTATTGTTGAGTATTAGCTTGTACCTGGTTCGGAGGCTAAGTAAGTATTTACTTTCCAGTTTGGGGCTGGGGGCGGGGGCCGCGCGTTCTGAAAACTGCATCTCCCTTCCTCTGTCTTCTCACCAGTATCTGGGGGCCAGGATTCCAGGGCCTAGTGGGAGAGGGACCCCTGCCCCGTTCGCCATCCCCGGAACTTGGCAGAAGTTGCCCGAGGCCCGGAGCGCGCTCTACGTCCGCCTCTTCTTCCCTAGTCCAGCCCGCTCAAATTAGACTCCCTCATCCCCGCGTCCCTGGGGTCTGCGCCCTGGAGCTGGGACAGCGCGGTTCACGGGGCTCCCAGAGCCGGGCCGGCTTCTTTTGTCGTACACCGAGCTGGGGCCCAGCCTGGCCTTTCTCATGGACACAGAGAGCGAGAGCGCGAGCAAGCGAGCGTGAGCGCTAGCCGCGCCGTTTGGGTATCTTTCCCCGTGCAGGCCCAGGCCCAAGTTGGGGGAGGGTGTCATCTGGCCTGGTCCGGGACCCGGAGTTTCAGGCCTGAGCGCGCGGCCCACGGGGCTCTGGGGGAGAAGTGGGGAGGAGGCGGTCAGGGCAGACGGGTCTTTCTGAAGCCTGATCAGAGGTGGTGTTCACCACATCTCTCCTTTCCTCGACGCACCTTCCAGATCCCGGGGCAGCCAGTCAGGGCGCCGTGGTGAGTGGGTCGCACTGCGGACGCGAGGAACGCTAGAGATTGCGTGGGCGCTGCTTACACACGCGGCGCGCGCGGTCTGTGTGTCCAAGTTCCAAGCTCCGTAGGACGCAGGAACAGCGGCTCATCGCTGGGGAGCTGAGGGTCTGGGGAACGTGTGTGGGAGTGCTCGCAGGTGTGTGTGAAGAGGGAGGTGGGGGTCTGGGGGACGGAGGGAGAAGCCAGGCCTCCTTTCCCAAGGGGCCAACCTGGCGACGGGGCACTCCAAGTTTGGGAGGCTGGGAAGGCTCCGCAGGATTTTCCCATCTCGCTCACGGAAAGTCTCAAGTCTCGGCTGCACGCTGACCGGGTAGGTCGGCCCTGGGTGGGAGCCAGAGAAGTGTGTTTGTGCCAAGCCTTGGCTGTGAATGTGTGTTTGGGTGCCTTTACTGAGTTTGTTAGTGTATATTTGCTGTTTGAGAATTGCATTCTTGCCTCTGTTTTTAGATAGTAATCAATCATGTGAGTACATTTTGGTATGTGTCTTTTTTTGTGTGAATTTGTGTGTTTGTATTTGTGTATAGTCCTGCTGTGTATTTGTCTGTGTACTCTTATTTTTGTTGGTCTGTGTTAGGCGTGTATGCTTACTTTTGGACACTCGAATGTGAGGGTGTTTGCATGCGTGAGTGGTGTGCATCTGTGTACAATTACTGTGTATGTGTGTACCAGCACTGATGTATAAGTGGACTTAAAAAAATCTGAATGGGTGTGTTTGTGTGCGGGTGACCGTGTACATGCTTGAGACCCCGTGTGGATGTGACTGAGCTGGGTTGAGTGTGTTTGTGAGTGCAGAATTTTGTGGATCTGTGTTTGTGTGCCAGTCACAATGTGTGTGTGCCTGCATGGGATAGCAGTGTTTTTGTTTATGTGACTCCTGGAGGTTTTGGGGGGTATGTTGTGTGGGTACTCCTAGTATTACCTTTGTGGATTTGACAGGGGCAGGATTTCTGGACGCCTGTATTGGGGCATTTTTTGGAGGCACAGAGATGCTCACTTCTCTCTCTGTTCCTGTCTAGGCCTAGTGCTGTCCCCCACAGTCTCTAGGGGAGGTGATTTGGCTGGAGACAGGAAATTGACAAATGCTGGTCACCAAGTGGGACACTGACCCACAGCTGGGCTTCTGAAAAGAAGTCCCCAAATCGGGTAGCTTCTGCCTGATGGTGCTGTTACTCCATCCTCTGGCTTGCCCAGGGACAGGTGTGTACACCACATAGTGTGGCGGCGTGGCTGGTTAGAACCTGGCTCGGCCAGGCACAAGCCGACTGCATCTTGCCTGGTCCTCCAGGCCCAGCTGGGAGAGGTCCAAGAGCCCCAAATGAAACCGCAGTTTCTCAGGCACCTGGCTCTGCCCTCCTGGGGCACTAGGAGCCCTGAGCCCCAGTGGGGCAGGGTCCGAGAGAACCAAGAATGCAGGAGGAGAGAGGTACAAGGCTGCAAGTGGAGGCCAGTTGGGTTGCCTACTCGCCCTTTGTTTCACGGGGGTTTCTCTCTCCCGCGTTCTCTGCACGTCTGTTTTCCTTTCTGTCTCCTTTTCTTTCTAATGTTCAGCCTCTGTTCTCTTTCCGTTTCCCTTTCCCTCTCTTTCTCCAACACTTTCCTTCTTGATTTCACGGTTTTTTTTTCCCTCCCCCTGCCTCTCTGCTGGGCATCCAAACCCAGCACCCGGCTCAACACTGCAATGAACAATTCTCATCGTGCACCGTACAGCTACTGGGGTGCTGGAAGACTCACATACAGTCATTAAAAGCCCTCATCTGACAGCCTCCCCTCTGCTCTGGACTAGGTGCCCCCCCTGCCCCCCTCTAACCCCCCCCCCCCCCGCCACCCTGGTCCTCCCTGAGAGAGCCAGGTTGCTGTGTCTTCCCAGCCCTGGCTTTGCCAACTCTGCCCGGCTGCTGGGGGCTGTGTACTGGGTTCCATGTGGGACAAATACACCCACCCCCACCTCCTGGGTGTGATTAAATGCCAAGGCACATCCAGGCCCCAGCAGGTGCGGTACCAAGCCAGGGAGGTAGCAGGAGTTGGGGACAGTTTCAGAGAGCAGCTCTGGTTCTTCCCGAGCCTGGATATTGTATGGGTGCTGAATGCTGGGTTGCAGGAGATGAGGGCTCTGCTTCCAGAAGCTCTGGGCTGGCCTTCTGCCTCCTATAGCTGAATGCACCCATCCTGTTCAGGTCACAGTCCCCCTGAAGTCGCCCTGGGAGCCTCAGCCCAGCCCAGCCCCAGTCCAAAACCTCCATGCCCCAGCCCAGCTGCAGGAAAGCCTGCTTGGCCTTTGCCAGCCCTCCACCTTCCAGGGCGTGCAGCATCCGAAAAACGCCAGCAGACCAACTATTAGACGAATTATCCCGCCCTAACAGCGCTAACAGATGGCGACCAGGCAGCGAAATCCCCTCCTATATGTAACTAATAAACCGCTTGTGTCTTAACAGGGTAATGCATGGAGACGCAATGTCACTTATACAAGATGTTGATGGAATTTACTATATAAAAATCTTCCTCCTAGACTAAAGAGTATCAACATTACAGCTCGACAGACGGCGGCGGGATAAGTAAAACAGACAAAAGACAAACAAGATAATAATCTGTTTCCAATCACTTAAGCCCTGTAGAGTTAGTAATATGCGGTTTGCATATTCCCCCTTGAGTTTGGTAATTAATTACCGGCGAAGAGGCACACACCCGCCCGGGGTGGGAGTTTGGAGGCGCGCTGAGCTGGGGCTTGGGGGGCGTCTTTCCTGTCTTCTCCAGCCCGGCACGCAGGGCAGCGGCCGGAATGGGGACTCTTCGGGGCATGTGGAGTTGACCTACCCTTCAGGCTAAAGAGAATTTTCAGTTGCACCCTCTACTCCTCACTGGAAACTCTCTTGCCCGGTGTGGGGAGTGGTGGCGGTGGTTCTGCAGCTCAGCAGGAACGTGGGGACTTTTCGGGCGGCCAGAGTATCTCCCTTCGCCCCTCTGAAGGCATCCCCTCTCTTTGAATGGGCCGGAGTGGCTTGCTTTCTTGGAGAACGCGCGCTCTGAGGAAACCCGAGGGGTGCGCCCCTCGCCCTCTCCTCCGCGTGGGATCTTGGGCGGCGCAACGGGTCCTCTCCCGACTTCGATCATTACCTCCCCCCCACCCCCCACCCAACCGCTTTCTTCCCCCCCCCCCCCCCCCGCCCCCAAGAGCCAGCGCGGCTTTAACATTAAACAAACGCAGCGAGCGCCTCAGAGCTGCGCTCTCGGCCGGGTCTGCGCGGCGGCGGCGGCGTTACAAATTGTAAATTTAAATTGCTCGCCGGATTCATTACCTCCCCTCTTTGATTTCAGCCAGCCGTGAAAAATTATACTGGTGTACCACTGAGAAACTGTTTTGCCGCAAAGAGCCCGCGCCTAATCACTGGCTTTCTCCCTCCGACAAAAGTGTAATTATTTTGTTTGGGGTGTAAATATAGGCCGCGCCGCGCACACACACTCAGCGTCCCGCCGCGCCGCCGCGCACTGCCCGCCACCGCGCGGAGTCGGCCCCCGAGTAGGAGCGAGCGTGGAGGCTAGGCCCTGCCGCCCGGAGGCCGGAGAAGAGCGGCTGGTTTGGCGCTCCGGCGAGACCCAGAGAGCCGAGCCGGCAGGCCAGGTCCCCAGCCCCTGTCCTCAGGAGTTCGAGTTTGCCCGATGATGCCCAGAACGTGTGCGCCCTGGCTGGCTTGGGTGGACGCCCGCGGGGCGTGATGCGTGGGTCAGGGCTTGGGCTCAGGC